AAGTCAGATTCGAGTGTAACATTTTTCTGATGGACTCCATCAAACTAATTAAGTCCTGCTTTAAGTTTAGTCTAATCTATTAGACATGCATTGAATTACTTTTTACTAGCAACTTCATGTGGGTTAATGACAAAAATAGAGCAATGTACGTTTAAAGCTGCACGTAGAACAGGGATACAAGTAGGATATACCACACTGTGAGGCTAATCTAAGGGTAATGAAGTTACTACAGAATTGATCAGTCTATGCAGAATAAAGATTGGTGTACAAAACATCTGCATTTATAATTACCTTATTAGGTTATAGGCCTGAGCCCTCAGTGTTCTCCAAGGGCGCAGTAGTCCTGACTGAAGTCAGAGTTTACACTGATTTAATCATAGTGAAATATGAAGATAAAGAGTTCATTGATTTCAGTGATTGACCAATTATTGGTAGAGATCAATTAACACAATGTTAACACCGCTACCCCAAATAAGTCAAGTTATTTGCATCTAAATCTTTGATGAAGAAAAATACCCGATAGTGAAAGCTATTTCTAGTTGTATGAAAGAAATACAATTAAAATGCAATTGGTTCACTTATATTTGCTCTAATAGTAGCACATACACTTGAACATAAACATAAATGGCACAGGTATATCTGTGGTCAAAGTAAGTCACACTTTTAAGGTCAAGTGTATACTAAAAGAAATTAATGGTTATTTATAGTTCTATTATGAATACAATTCTAATACTGTATTTGCTGTATCAATAGTGCATGTATTTACACAAATAACAGGTGTGTGTCTACATGTATATAGTCAAAATAAGTTTTATTTCAATGAAATGAAATAAGTGCTATTTTTAGTTTGGTTCATATACTTTCCAAAATTCTCATCAACCCCTGTAACCAGTGGGAAATTATGTCCATTTGGATCAAGATTTGAAAAAAAAATACATAAAAATAGACAAACTATGGCATCAAAAAAGTTGGCAGGGAAAGATTATGGCCCTTTAAAGGGAATAACAGTGACTTTCTATTCGTGGAAATATAAAATCATGACCATCTTCTCACTCTGGCTATTTAACAGTTCACACAATATGCCATATAAAGTCATTTTGTATGAAAAAAATGTTTGGACGGTGTTAACACAATTGACTGTCACATCAGATATAATTGTAGTGTCGTGTGAAAGACACTAAGGCGAGTGTCTAAATGGTGTCAGATTGTGAAACAGGTGTGTATAGTTTCGTGAAGAAAATACAATTAACTCTGAAATTACAATGAGTCTAAATGCATCACAAATTGGCACCATTGTCTGACAGTCTCACAACTTCAAGGCTGTCTGGTTTGTAAAATGACCTGCATTCCTACGATTACTCTAATTTTGCATGTGTTCGAATCTGATTATATACAGCCAATGCATAGTCTACCTGGGAAGTGTACTGGTACAATGGCATTGAATACCAATTTAGTGCAAGCAGTTTTCGTTTATACCCCCTTACGGTTCAAAGTTCAAAACAGAGGGCGGATAATTTCAAATCCTGGGAGGAGCAGGAAGGTATTTAACGATGATAAAACGTATAATATCCTTGTGTTCGTGAATTCCATGTCAAAATTTAGCTGAACGATATTTTGAAAAAACGCGAGCCGATCAGTAAAAGCGAAAACTTCGTCAGCTCGGAATATTCAATGGCCCGCCCTTAACTAACTGTTTACACATTTGCTGATTCGTCTCAGTCAAACTGTTAAAAACATTTACGTAGGCGAAGCACGAACTGTGTATCAAGTTCATGGACACATCTAAACACGATGTCGGTCACGAGCGGAAGATGCATAGCGGGTGGCTGTGTGAGGGTGGCACGGCAGCGCCGCGATCTACGTACCATGGTTCGTCAGAACGGCTTTACACTTTCACAGTTTTAAAAAATTACTCACAAGTGTCAACTTACCTTCAAATAATGTGACACAAATTTCCGTAGAAGAACAGGTTCGTTACTCGATGCACCTGCTGGTGTCGCCGTATTGAACTAATTAAGAGAGTGTGGCGCTTTCTCCCCAAAAAAGTCCGATCCAGGCAAGACAAGTTGAACAGCACGGAAGTTCGCAAATCTCCCAGATGCTCGTAACTTATTGTAAGAACTGGGTACTGCGTATGATTATTTGTGTAGACGACTCACATGTATCTTGTAAAAACCACCACAAATGCTAGAGGTAACTGAAACCAAGGCATACCCGAGAAGAACAGCTCCAATTGCCACACAATGCAAAGTTCAACTTGAAAGTTGCTCCTCGACTGCATGCGATGAAACGAGACGCTCGTGTGAGGGCGTTGTTTCACTCAACTCTCTGGCAGCCCACGTCGAATACGCACCAAAACTGATCTAATTTTCTGCGAGTTATTATGCCAGTTAATAACCATCGGGAAAAACCGCAATAACAATAAATTTTACCCCAAAGTAATAGCAAGAGTATTACCCAACTAACTATAACAAAAAATATCCAAGCCCCCTAAAACATTTTTTTTATCAAAATTGGTCTGACCCTCATGAACCAAATATTTATTTTACATTAAATATACAAACATCTCTAAACTTCCCATAAATAAAAAAATATTTATATACATATTGTTATCATTATATTACAATTGTTGTCAATTGGGTGAATATAATATTTACATGGCTGAGACGACAATACTGCCAGAATCGTGATATATAGAGTTTCTGTATACTTCGTTGTACAATGTTTGACCTATCTCCGCATTAAAACTTGTCAAACTAACATGACAACTGTACTTGAGTCCCTGCAATTAGTTGTTTGTATAAAGTGCATCTATTTAAAACTACAATCCCTCTATCTGGAAGAGAGACTGTGTTAAAATCGTTGTGTTTTTTTTTTTTCTGGCAACACATTAACCTACCACAGTCCCTCTATCTATAGAGGGACTGTGAACCTACTTAGATTTTGACCGATCATTCCACAGAGCTTGAGTGCACATCGACACAAACCGCAATCGGACTACGGTGTACCTTATATAAGTCTATTGCTAAAAGCAATGTCAAGCAAAAAACAACAACACACTTTTCTTATTGACGGACGAACCCAGACCAACACGGTATCTACACTGTACGTGTATACGTCACGGAAGAGTTTTGGCCATATCAACTTTGATTGCTTAAAGCAGGGGAGTCATCACCTGCGCATGCGTCAGATGGCCATAGCGTGTCATTGTTTACAAACAAGCGTTGCGTTTTTAGCGTGAGTTATTATCGTCGCTTGGGACTCAATTACCGCGCGTGCGCAGGTGACGACCCACCCACTTTAAGTAACAATATGTAAACTTTTTCTTTGCTATGAATGCGTGTTTTGGGAAAGCTTCGGAAACCATTGAGAATTTCACAGTGATTTCTACATACCACGATAAATAAGAGCAAAATCAAAAAAACCTAGACGCCACAATGCATTATGTTTGTTAGATGTATTGATGTATCCTCGCGGGCGGAGCTACGTCACGGACGTTCTACGTTGCTAAGACGCGCACCACTGTACCACGTATTTCTATGGGCTCTGTGCGCGCTGCTGTGGAACGCCGGTGGAGCCGGTGAAATCTCGAGAAAACAACACAAACTCAAGTTTGAAGTAATCCTGAACAACCAAATTCATATATGTTACACACGTAGGGCTAATCTTGTTACACTGTTCAGGGGACTCTCAACAACCATCGCAAAGTACCGTTTTCTGCGAGTTTTTGGTCTTTGTTTTCACCGCGAGGGTTGCCAGGCGGTAGAAAATGCCCGGATGTCCGCCCCCGAGAATACATTGCGATATCGTGATATATTCCTGCTGGAAACAGTCACACGATATCATATGGTAAGCTCATTTGTTTCTGATTTTCTTTATCATATATAAGTGTCTTCGTTCAATTCATTAGAAATGATACTTGCATCAGCAAATTGGAAGTGACAGTTGTCATGAAGATATTTCTCCATGCTTTAGTGCTTTAGATTAGAGTGCACTGTTCGGGGTGTGTTTTACAAGAACTATCAAGTTATCGATCACTTGTCACCGACAACGCTCGAGAGCCCCCCCACCTCCAAGCGGCTATACTCCAAATGTATATTTGTTTTATATATTTTTATGTATGCCCTGATCCTGGACCAGGTGTTTTGTCACTGTTCCAACCATTAGTGGTACATTACTGTAGAGGGGAGAATATTCGCTGGATTTAAAGGGTGTTCAAGTTGGTCGTCGCGCCACGCATGCGCGAGATATGGGGCTCGTATAAACAAAGATGGCGACTTTGAATGCTACGCATACCAACGAGTACAAACTTTAACTATGTAATTCTTTTGGTGATTGAAATTTATCGAAAAGAGACACCGGCGGTAATTAGTACACGTTGCGTTAAAGCGGGGGAGTCGTCGCGCAGCGCGTGTCAGATGGCCATAGCGTGTCATTGTTAACAAACAAGCGTCTACCCATGAGCCCCCACTTTCCTGGGGTATTTGAAACCAGATGACAATTTCGGTTTCAAATACCCCAGGAAAGTGTTCTATGTCCTTCGCGTAATTAGGTGTTCGCAATGCAAGGA